TTCTCCGCGCCGCGTCTCGCTTTGACGGACCAGAAAGACGCCGTGGCTCGCCGGGCCTCCAGCCAGCACCAGCTGAGCGGCTTTGAGGCGGGACAGCGTGCCGTGGAACCACTGACACTCGCTGAGCGGGTGCTCCACCGCCTCAACCGGCGTCACGTCAGAGAACAGGAAAGACCCTGGGTGGAGGAAGGGTTTGTGTAAACATCATCACGCTGTGACATCACAGCATCGATACACCGCCATCACCCAACAAACCTCTACAGAGACAAGAATCTACTCCACATTTAGCAAAGCTGATTCAACTGTTTGTGCAGGTATCCTGATGTATGTGTGACATCATTACATGTTGCACACGTGACCACGTGACACACGTACAGCACGCCACCTGAAACAGAGGCTACAGCTGGACGTGGATCACACGTGTTCAGATGCATCAGAGTTCTTCAGGCGTCAGAAATATTTTTGAAAAAATAAAACAAATCTCTGGGTCAGGCTCACCTGTGGCGTCTGGCGTCTCAGCAAACGGCGTGCCCAGACTAGCCCCGCCCCCTCCGTGAATCCGGCCATCTGGTTCATCGAGAGGCGCTCGAGGTGGCAGCTCGGGCGGGAGAGGATCCATGAGAGGAGAGGAGCCGCCGATCCCGCCATAACACACTGATGTGCAGAAACGAGCGCAGATGGTCAAACGCTTTTATGCGATGTGTGTTAGACGTACATGAACAGAAGCTCCGCCCACATCGGGGGGTCTAGGTTCAGTAAACTCACACTCCACGCTCACCTTGTGAAAGGCGGTCACCGATCTCAGGTGTCCCGCTGATGTCCAACGGCGCCCCGCACACACCCTCGGCATCTTCCTGTTCACTGTGGGAGGAGAACGCAGTTATAGCCACACCCACACATGGAGCTGGTCAGGCAGCATGCCACTGCTGCTTTGTGTTTGCTCACCTGAGACAGATGCCGTTCCTGATGTCACTGAGCCACGCCCTCATCTGAACGGCGTCTCGCGTCTCGATCACGTACTGCGTCGTCCCGTCCAGCTGAGAGCAGAAAGAACACGCTTCATGTGTCAGTGAAACCTTCATGTATGAAAACGCCACCGCCACGATTCCTAACATCAGTTTAGGCCCCTCCCCCTCATTCCCAACAGATTAGTTGCACAGTGGAAACCCCCCCACCCCCACTGTGCACTGATGGTGCTCCGAGTCCATCGATGCTCAGCTTCACCACATTTACGTTCCACAGACATAAAAACCCTGCTTTCACTCGCACGTCACATTCTTCCTGCTGGTTTATTTCCTGCGGCTAAAACAATGAAGCGGCCTGTGGTCATGTGGTACACCTTCAGCCACCTTTAGCTTTCTGAGACATTCTGCACATTGTATACACGCATCTAATTGCACTGAGTGGCCGGCACGTGATTGTTTGTGTAGACAAGAATCACATGCGATGGTTGACGGTGTGGTTACCTGCAGCAGGAAGGTGTTCTCCTTGTCGGGGACCTCGAGCGCCGTGGTGCTCCTCACATCCACGATGGAGCAGCAGGGGACAGTCAGCCGAGGCTTCGATGACTGAGACAAAAGGTT